ATCCTAGATTAATTCTTGATCAATACTAATTAAATAATCTTATTATTCTTATTATTAATATACTAGAACTTATAATATATTAATAACCATAAGTGTCTTATTTCTCTCATTATAGTCTATCCAAGTGCATGATGCCATGCAACCCAAATGGACCATGTCGGGTCGGGTCAAGTCTTACCAATTATAGTTATGGACTTAGACATTAATCCAACAGTCTCCCACTTGGATAAGTCTAAAACTATTATTGCGTATGACTTCAAGAACCGACCGACAATCGTAGCTCTCAAAAGCTTCTGTCGAACTTTGACCTTGTAGATGAACTCTGACCTTTGTCAATACTTTCCATTAGATAAGGGATCATATATTCCTCCATTTAGATATCATATGGACTGAGACATGGATTATAATCATTCTCTCTGTCCATTTTTGTTTCCCGATTTCCGATTTATGACGACTGACTAATTGAACAAATCAAATCAGTCCTGGCCCGGCCGAGCACTTCCATTTGTCATCATCAAATCATCGAGGGGCCCACATATATCGCTTTTATCCCAAGGTAAAAGGAATGGATAAACTTCGACTCATATGGCTTGTTCACTACTTGTTGAATCATACACAAAGGCACGTTTTATAGCACCGAGTTACCAAATGCGTTTTCGTGCAATCAATGTACAACCAACTCATAGTAACAACTCATATCTCTAGGTTTGAAGAATATAAGATATTATCGTCTCATGATCACTCGTGATAAAATCCATGAAGTGATTCCAATGAGCGTGGGTTGAATCCAATACTCAAAACTTATGAGCACTCATGAGTGTTGTAGCCCTTTGTCCAACACCTTAGACCTCTACAAGCCAACCCATGACAGTCTTAATTCATATCTACTTCCAACATATGACCGACTGTGGATGGTTTGAATAACTTAGTCATTCCGGAAGAATAACCTAGTTTATTCTGGAAGTCAAAACATGCAAAGTGAAACACAATAATAATTGAATCCAATATGGTATCAAAACCTATGAACATAAATAAAACACCTTTTATTTATCACCATATGATTACACATTATTCATTGTATATGTTTCAGCTATCAACTTTATTCTTGAATTTAAAACAATAGTTGTCCCATGCTCCAAGCATGTACACTATGTTTTCTAAACACTAGTCATGCCATACACCAAGTATGCATACTATGTTTGTCTATGATCTTTACTTTGTGAACTAGATCAATTGAACATAACTTCAATGATTCTCTTTTCACACTCCCAAATCCTTACTGCAAATGCAAGAATTCCAAATTCATGCCATTTACTGAAATCTGTTAGATTCTAAACTTATATGCATTGATCCTCTTGTAACGATTATGCACAAATTCACAAAGACTTGGCAACAATCATTATAGAGTATTCCAAAGGAGATCAACTCCTTGGAACATCCTTCTTGCATTAAGTTTCCTTAATCTTACACAGATTGAAATTTCTAATTTGAAACATTTCCAGATTCATTTTGACTATCACTTCTGAACAAGAGTTGCCCCCTTACAGATTATGTCAATATGGTCCTTCCAGAATTATCACTATACTTCCAACTGTCCTTGAGCAACCAATCTTTGGTAAACCTTAGATTGTCCTCGACAATTGTTTAATCCTTTTAGTCATATCCAGTTCTAAACCTTTTCCCTTCTTAATGCCCCAGGCATTTGGAAAATTTTTAGAAATGATGAATATAGCACATGTAATCGATCCTATATCCGAAGCATATGGGACACGATTCATGATGTCTCACATAAAGACTAAACCAGTCTTTTGCTATAACATTTCCATTTCTATTTGCCAAGTTCTCATAATTCAGATTATGAAAAGGGATGCCGTAATCATAATCGAATTTTAGAACGCAAATAATGGACCCATATACAGAATTTCCTTATGTTGAGCCATTCCAACATGAAATTCATATATATTTCCTTGACTAAATGATTAAAACCTCACGATCTAAGCTTATAGATTTGAGATGAAGTATAATTTCCTCTCCCTTAATTATAGCAAAACAACTTTTTCCCAATTGAAACCTTTTGTTTTCTATAATTAACATTGCTAACTTGCAACTTTATCATAATTATCATGCTCCCACTAACATGATGATTATTAGCATAACACTTATGCTCCCACTAGCTTTGACATGTTCTCAGAAATCAGCTGACTTTCTTACCAAAGTTCAGATTTGATACTAGATTGTTTTGATAAACTTTATCAAAATCATACACCTTCCTTAGATAGCACACTTGTGTGTCTAAACAATTATGAAGAGGGATGCCGTAATCATAATGGTTAGACCTTTTTGCCACTTCTCACAAGTCCAGGTTAGTGTGCCGGTAAACCACACACGCTCCACTAACGACTTTGAGAATGCAAATATCACAATTGCTATCTAGCTAAAATCTACTTAGTGAAAGTGTTTCCTCACCATCATTTTCATGAATCGGAGAGAAACCTTATGACACTTAGATTTAATGGTGTATGTGTTCTTATCCATGTGAATTGTCAAAACCATAGTCACAAGACAAGGATAATGACAAATCCAAACTCATATGGACTGAACTCAATCTTAATTTCTTGCCACCTGCAGCTCAAGGGCCTACCATTGCTTCCAAGTTGTTGTGCAACACATTGAGAACTCTAAGAACTCATATGCAAAGCCAACTTTAACTGGAATGGGCACAAATATGTCAACACGATAGGTTATAAACCTCAAGTCGTGTGCTAGTGAAGAACTTCAGGTTTTATTCTTGATTAGTTCTTGAGACTTTCAAGACCTTTAAGACTCCCACTTTCCTCTTGACCTATAAGACTCCCTTGTCAAACATCCAAGAGATAGTGTGGATTCTAACCAAGACAAACACTTCACACAATTGGCCTAAGTTGGTCTTTGTTTTATCCAAAACATCACAACTTACCAATTTCAAATGTACAAGAGTAGAAAACTTTTACTCTTACATTTGACAAGTGTTTTAAACCTTCTTTAAGACATGTCACTCAAGTTACAATTTTAGAGTATAACTCCAAGACTTGTATTGGAACGAAGTATGAATCATCTTCTTGATTTAACCACTTCAACAATTTATAGTTCCTCTTCTTAGCTATAAGAAAGAACTTAGAGGATGAATTGTGATAAGGTCTCTAAATCATTAATACGATCATAAAAACTGATACGAAAGTACTCTCCCATCTTTTCAGATTTGAGAGACTTCTATCCTTCTGCCTAATTTGATTCTTCTAATTCGCTCTGCCATACGTTGGAACCACGTTAGAGATATGAGTTTTGGATGGCATGTTGAGGTCATTTTGTCAAATAGAGTCATAGGGTCTTTGCATGGGCATCAAGATCCAAACTTTACGTGCTTATTATGATCAAAGGGGGCAGATCTATGGATTAGAGGAACAGATCTGACCTCAGAAGGTCGTTTCTGAATAAGCATGGCATGAACTCACCGAGTCCCAAGAACAGACTCAGAGACTAGGGCTAGGGTCTCCCGTAAGTCACTCAGTGAGTAACTTGTCGAGTTGGGGGAATGACTCAGTGAGTTAGAAGGGGGTAGAAGATTGAAGGTGGAACTCGCCGAGTTCATAATTGAACTTGATGAGTTGAGGCGGGATGGCCCCGCGATTCATGTCAGGTGTAACCCTTCGAACATGGGAAAGGCTCGATGTGTCATGAGAGGCTAGAGAAATAGTGAACACGTGTACACTCGCCGAGTCGCCCAAGTGCACTCGACGAGTCGGGTCAAGGTTTGACCGTTGACTTTGTTGACTTTTAGGGTTGGTCAACAATGGGGTATTTGAGTCAAGAGAGGAGTAAAATGGTCTTTTACCCTTCTAAGAGTGCTAAGGGAGGGAATAGTCTAGTCTTGGAAATTGTGTTGTACCGAGTGTTTATTTTCGTATGATTAGGTGAAGGCTAGATCCTATTTCACGGAGACCGAGATTCCGAGTTACCGAGCTACACGAGGTGAGTCTTCTCACTATACGTTACCTAGAGTGGTATTATGAGTTGACCGGAGAGTCTTATGTGCTATGTATGAGATTGTGTGCCATGTGTGAGATTATGTGTTATGTGATGTATGTATGATATATAATTGTATAGACCGGATTGGAGAGTCTAACGATTCAGATCGGGCTGGAGGGCCCAACGAGCTATGACCGGACCGTCCAACGAACTACAGGACTGGAGGTTCCCGCTGAGACACATCGAACGAAGGGTTGTACAGTAGCCTCGAGTGGTGTATGTGTTGTATGTAGTATTTTGGGGAACTCACTAAGCATTTATGCTTACAGTTGTTGTGTTATGCGTTTCAGGTACTAGCGAGGACCGCGGAAAGGCACCGGTGTGAACTATACACACCGAGAGGAGATTTGATTTATGATCTTGGGAACATGTTTAATTAATAACTATTGTGAAACACTTTTTGAGAATGTTTTATATTTAAAATGTGGTTGTTGAAAAATGAAAATTTTGTTATGAAAATTTCGTCGTTACAATTATACTGAAGAAGCAGTTGTGCAGTACGAGACAATATAGGTAACAAATTATTGTTGATAAGTTCATCCTCAGATGATGAACTACCATCGTTAAGTTCCATTACTATTTTTTGAATGTTTGGATTCATTTTGACAAAAATGAAAAGATTGAGAGAAAATGAAATAAACATACATATATAGATAATGAAACAAGCATAATTATATATCGATAATGAAACAAGGATACATATAGAGAACCTTAATAAAAATAAAAATGAAAATAAAACAAAATTAAAATTAAAAAACATAATAATAAAGATAAAGCTTCTCCAATCATATGATGTCGACATTTTGAACTTCACGGGTTCTCCAACTTTCAACCATACGTAGTTGTAATTTGTCGTTTCCTTTCAAGCACCATGCGAAAAATACCTCCAGTTAAATGATCATGCGGCCGAAGAAAATACTCCATATCTTGGTTCTCTATCTCTTGATCCAATAGTTGAGCTTTTCATTGTTTATTAGCTTCGAGAATGTGCAATTTTTGTTCCCAGTATCATTGTCTCTGTTCCGCCTCTGTTTCGGTTGCAGTCTTGATGTCGGCAATTTGTTTGACAAGATCAAACATTTCATTTTCTGGTGATGATGTCGATGCTGATTTCTTTCCTTTTCTTTTTCTCTGAGGTGGTGAGTCTTCAACACTAAACGACTGTCAGGAGGATACTTTGGATCAGATGATGATGTGTAGGCATTGGATGAAGATGTTTTGGTTCGTTTTGAAGAAGGAGGTTGGGATTCTTCACCCGCTTTTGCAATAAATTCCCATTTCACGTTCTCTTTCAACCACTCCCAAGCTTGTTGGTGAGGAAAACTATAACAACCCGAGATTCAGGTAAGCCTGATGACCCTTCTACTTTGAGAGTTGGCAAGGTGGGTCCTTTAAATTATGTGTTGGATTTGTGAGTACGTTGGGCGTAAAGAAGCGTACGCCGCGCGTACTTACGCGCTTATTTTGGACGCGGACTCGCCCAGGTACGCTGGGCGTAGTGTGCCCAGATGCAAACCCTAAATTATGGCTTGTGCACTATAAAAGGAACGTCTAGTACTTTTCCCCAGCCACGATACCCCCTTGAGTGAGCCCTTAGAGTGCATAAATCTGTGTTTAAGCTTGTGTGTGTGTGTTCTTGAGCTTGAAGGTACCCTTTTAAGGTGATGAAGGAGAACAGGAAGCCATTGTTGGAGCTAGAAGTGGAAGAGAAAGAGTAGATTTGAGTTCTACAGTGGTTGGAGATACCTTTTGAGGTAAAAAGCTTCAAGCTTTGCATCTTTTCAGTTTATACTTTGTAAAGAGAAGTTTTAGGGTTTTTGGTCCCCAAGTTCATAGCTTTTTGAGTGGTTGAGCTCTTGAAGCTGAGATCTGTCCCATACTAGCTCATTTAGTGTTGTTATTTGATAAAAATCCAGTCTTGGTTGTTAAAAGTTGTTCATGCATGAGATATGGACCTTTTAAGGTTGGAAATAGAGTGTTTTGGGTGTTTGTGACTTCCACAGCCATGCAAAGGCTTAAAGTCACCAACTTTATGGATTAAGTCATGTTAGAGAAGTCAGATATGGATTTTGGACGCAAGACATAAACGATTAAGACCTGAATGAAGAGGAGGAGAAAGTTGGGAGTTACGCTGGGTGTAATCCCAGTACACGTGGCATAAGGGGTCGCGTACCCCGATTCTGTGAAGCCATTGGGTACGCTTAGCGTAGAGATCTGGTACGCACCGCGTACCCCAGAAGGTTGACTTTTGTTGACTTTTAAGGTTTGGTCAACTTTAGAGTATTTGAGCCTTGAGAGGGGTAAAATGGTCTTTTACCCTCCTGAGAGTACTAAGAGAGGGAATGGTCTATCCTTGGAAAATGTGTTGATGTCGAGTGTTTATTTCGTATGATTAGGCGAAGGCTAGATCCTATTTTCACGGAGTCCAAGATTTCCAAGTTACCGAGTTACACGAGGTGAGGCTTCTCACTATACGTTACCTAGAGTGATATTTATATGTTGACTGGAGGGTCCTATGAACTATGTATGAGATTATGTGTTACGAATGAGTTGTGTACTATGTGATATATATATATATATATATATATATATATATATATGTTATATAATTGTATAGACCGGACCAAAGGGTCCAATGATTCAGACCGGACCAAAGGGTCCAATGATTCAGACCGGACAGGAGGGTCCAACGAGACAGACCGGTATTACCGGACCAGAGGGTCCAACGAGCTGGCCGGAGGGTCATACAGTACCCTCGAGTGGCGTATGTGTTGTATCTGGTATTTTGGGGAACTCACTAAGCATTTATGCTTACAGTTGTTGTGTTATGTGTTTCAGGTACTAACGAGGACCGTGGAAAGGCACCGGCATGACCCGTACACACAGAGAGGAGATTTGATTTGTGATCTTGGGATATATTTTGATTTGATAACTATTTTGGAATACTTTTTGAGAATATTTTATATATAAATTTGGTTGTTGAAAAATGAAAATTTTGTTTGGAAAATCTCATCGTTACAAGTTGGTATCAGAGACTTGGTTTGAGGGACTCGGATGCACCTTCGGGCGTCTCTGAGCTCAAACTGGGGATTTGGGAAATTTTCAACAAATAAGAACTGATTTTCTAAAAAGAGTAATAGGTTTTGAAACAACGAGAGCGGAATAGTGTGTACGGTCAGCCAGCGCCCGAACGGTGAATCCCCAAAATACCCTTACATTATGTGTTATGAGATATGATATGTTATTTTATGCATGCTAGAGTAGGCTAGGTATTCATATTAGGACTAGAGTGGCCTGATTTGTGATGCCTTAGCCTAGGAGATTACTGCTGCTATGAGATGTCCTGAGAGTGAGTAGATAGCAGTTAGGAGCTCATGAGAGGTCTATCGGAGGGTAGCCAATGCATAGCGAGAGTAGAGTACTTGCGATCCGGGATCCAAGGAGGAGGACTTGGGGTGAATGTTGATGCAGTGTGGTCAGTACTATAGGGCCCGTACTACTGAAGACACCGGATCAGTGAGCAGTCCAAGTAAGAATCCTTTGGATATTAGAGGACGATAAGGGTTGCGTTATCGAGTGCGAGTATGCTCAATCAAGTCTCTGATATTTTTATGTTGTATTTCAGAGACATCATGGTCAGGACATGACACACACCTGGGAGCAGTGGTGTCAGCGACGAGGAGATCCGTCGATTGATTCATGAGGAGGTGGCTGCTACCATTCGGGCCGAGATTCTAGAGATGTTCGGGGACATCAAGATCACATTGACTGAGACCTTTGATGAGCGATATGCAACATTGATTGAGGCTGAGGCTGATGCAGCTACTGTTGCTGTTGCTACTGCTAAACCACAAGGAGGTGACTCGTTGTTGTTTCAGGAGTACAGCAACATGAAGCCACCAGAGTTCGATGGGACCCAGGACCCGATTGTTGCGATGAGGTGGATCTTTGACATCGAGGGATG